AGCTCCCCTATCCACTCTCTTTTTATTGCAGATGTTTTTGTTGTTGAGAAAATGCACAGCAGAATATACATTAACTCAACATTTACTACATGTATAATTAGGTGACGATGAAGTTGTTCAAGTTGTACAACCATTCTTTTTTTTTTTATTTGTGTGTGTGTGTGCACCGTCAAATCAGATCTGACTGGTACAGGAGGAGATTGTCCCTCCTTCCCCGGCAGAGCATCTGGTGGATTCGAACCGTGCGCCTCTGGGATTGCAGTGCAGCTTCTTGCCACTAGGCCACCAGAGCTCCCCTTGTACAACCATTCTTAACCTCCTTTTTTGGATTGTTCCTCTCAAAATAATATAAACTCACTGCCCCCTGACATTCCTGTCTTGCCTTTTGAATTGTCATCAGCTTGATCTCATATAGATATTATTTTTAATCTCACATAGATCTTTAAAAAAATGCTTAAGGAATTATCTTGATTATCTAGTGCTGCTATAACAGAAATACCACAAGTGGATGACTTTAACAGACAAAAATTTATTTTCTCAAAATTTGAGGGCCTTGTTGTGTACTTTAAGTCAGATCTAAGTCAGAGCTGACTCGAGCAGATTTTCAGAGGCTGTAAATTGCTTGGGATGAGATTTTCCCATCATTCTTCTGTAAAGCAGCTGGTGGACTTGGACTGCCTGCCTTTGGATTGGCAGTACAACGCTTTACCAATGAGTCACCAGAGCTCCAGGGGAAGGCTTTTCAACACTTGTGGATTCAGCAGCCTTTGGAGAATCCCATGTGTATTAGCATCAGTCTTCCCCTGGGTCTAAGATATTCTCGGCATAGTGACCCTAGATCCAAAGGGCAGCTCTTCTTCCAGCTCTTCTTTTTGATAATAAATCTCTCTGCTTCTCTCCTTTTCTCTTCTTAAATAAAAGATCATCCAGGCCACATCCTAGGGAAACCTCTCTCATATAGAATCAGGATATGGCTGAATTAAGGGTGCTTTACCCCACTCTAATCTCTTTATAATTGATTAGCTGACAACATCAAAATACATCGTAAGAGTTGCCTGCACGATTAAATAACTGACACATTACATCATTATATAACTGCCAAACCACTGAGACTCATGCCCCAGTCAGCTTGACACATATTTTTTTTGGAAACAACTCAATCCATGGCATTGATATTCTTTACTAGTTATGGTAAACTATTGTTCGGTTTTAAAAATATTTACAGGGATATTTTTGGTTTAATATTTACAGATCATTTCAGGGTGTGTCCGACCATCTGCTCCTTTCAGATTGTCCTTTCCTTCACCTATTCCAGTGCAGTGTTCATTGTCCACTCTTTTCCCATTCTCCCAGGAAGCCAGCAGCTGTTACAGTGGGCTGTGTCAGGGTGGCAGAGGGATGGCACCTCCCCTGATCTGGCTGATGGTTGTCTTTCAGACATCAGAGTTTATGTCTTCCAGAAGTCATAGCACCCGCTGGCACGGGGAGGGTTGGAATTGGTGGGTTGGACTGTCCAGACTTAGGTGTTGGAAATGGTTTATTTTCATAGATAAGTGCTTGCCGCTACTGAAAGGCTGGTGTTTTGAACCCACCTGGCAGCTATACAGGAGGAAACTGGCAATCTGTTCCTTTAAGATCACAGCCAAGAAAACCCAATGAGATAGTTCTGTCTACTCTTTAACAGTGGGATCACCATGAGTTGCAATCAATTTAAGGCATTATGTTTAGGTTGGTCACTCTACTAACCCCAAAACAGCGCTTCTCTGGAAGTTCAAATCTACCAGCAGCTCTACGAGAGAAAAATAGTCTCTTCCCGTGCAATTTACAGTTTCTGGAAACCCTCTGGAGGGTCAGCTATGAGTTGGTTCTGATGCGACAACAGTAAGTGAGAGATACTGTCAATGAGTGAATACAGACATACCTCAGAGATAATATCATGCTTAGTTCCAGACCACCACAATAAAAGCAAATGTCACAGTAAAGTGAGTCACACAGGTATTTTTTTTCTTGTTGTTTCCTAGTGCATAGAAAAGTTATGTTTACAGAATGAAACATAAGGTAAAGGAATTATTATATGAAAACCAATTAAAATTTTTTATTTTTTTGGTGGTTTTTTTTTTTTAAGTATGGAGTTCTGGTGGTCTAGTGGCAAGAAGCTGCACTGCAGTCCTGAAGGCATGTGGTTCAAATCCACCAGGTGCTCCACTGGAGAAGGAGGGGTAATTTCTTTCTGTGCCAGTCAAGAATATAAAAATGTTATGTTTACGTTATCCTGAGGTCTACTGAGTGTGGAGTAGCTTTATGGAGAAATTTGAAAGCATGTGAGAATTACCACAGTGTGCCACAGACCCACAAGGTGAATTCAGGTTTATTGGGAAAGTGTTCCCATAGCCTTGCTCTGTGTGGGGTTTACATAAATATTCAGTTTGTAAAAAAAGCCAGCATCTTTGAAGTGTGGCAAAAGAAGCATAATAAAACCGTAGTCATAAGCAGCAAAAGAGAGGAGATCTTGGTTTGCTTGCATCATTATTCACTTAAATCTAGGGTGCCCTTGGCATTTGGGGTCCCAAGAGGACATGCTCCAGTGCCACCAAACCACCCCTCCTTCCAAGGTTGACTTTACAAGATAAAGTCAGCGATGGTCTATATTAAGTGGGGTACGGAGATTGCCTCAGGAGTGCCCTCAGAGGTAGGCACATCCCCGGGACCCCACCTATTCCTCTGAGTAGCTCTGGATGTAGGGGGAAGTTCCTGTAAGGGCCTGGAACCCACCAGTGAGAGAGCCGGTCCAGTAGCTGAAAGGCATGAGCTGGGTGCTGTGAGCTGACAATGTAGGAGAATGGCTGCCCTGGGCCCAGGAGGGGCTCCGTAAGACAGATGGAGAGTCAGGTTGCAGTGGGTGCAGGCTGAAGGCGACACATACAGTTAAGTCACCCAGGGGCTTGGTGGCTTCCTCTTGGGTGTTTGGCGGCCCATGTAGCCCAGCCTTGGTAATGATATGAAGTCATCAAAATGATTAGAATGTCTCTCATGCATTAGGTCCTCAGCTAGATGCTTCTCGTGTGGTATTTTTAATCCCCACACCATTGCCATGAACTGTCCTGTTAGGGTGGTAGGGAAACTGAGGCATATGGAAGAATGAAGTCAATTCCTCTGCTGAGGAGTAGTCAGGCCAGGGTTCAAATCTTGTCTGAATCTCCAGCCTGACTTATGTTTGCTGTTATAGGATAACGCAGGAAGAGTATCCTGAAATTTCCGCAGTGTGCCTTTCTTAACTGTAGGACTTGGAATGATTCAGGTGCCCAGCCAAGTGTGCTGGGTCACCTTGAATGGGATTTTGGTCTTTGCATTTCCTCTCTCCAATCCTTCAGTCCTTTACCCCTGTGTAGTTGGTTGACACATCTGCTGGAGAGCTGGCATGGGTGTTCCCCTCCTATGGATTTAGTGCCCACCCTGGACCACCCAGTAGTCTTTGTCTCCTATGTTCTGCTTCAAGGCCCCAGGATCTATGAGCCCACCTTTGTAGAATCAGCAGGCAGCCTGAACAGATAGATGGAAGTGTTACTGCTATGAGCCAGTTAATCGACTATGACTCATAAAAACCCTTAAACAACACCTGAGCCTTGCCCCTTCCTGTGGGTCCTCACAGTCACTGCCATGTTGAAACCTATCGTTGAGGTCATTGTGCCGAACCACTTCACTGAAGGTCTTCTCTCCTTTCCCAGTATAATGTTTTGTTTTCCCAGCGGCCTAGCCCCTCCTGACAACATGCCCAGAGTAGGTGCAAACACAATCTGACCACACTTGCCTCTGGTTGCATTTCCTCCAAGATGAATTTTTTCTGTCTTTGGCAGCCATGAAGATATTCAACACTCTTTTGCCAAAACCACAGTTCAAAGGCATCAGTTTTGCTTTGGTCTTCCTTATTCATTGTCCAGCTTTTCACTTGGCATAAAAAGTGAGGAAGCTCAATTGTCCTCCTTCAGGGTCTGAAGGCTAAGTGCAGGTTGCACCTGCTCAGAAAAGTATCAGCCATTCGCTGCCTAGTCCCTCCATGCTAGGAGCTCTGTAGGGAGTTCTGATCCAGTGACGTCTCCATTCTCTAGGACAGGTAACAGTCAGCACAGGAGGTTTTGGGTGAGGGGGGAATAACAGACCACTTAAATTTAACATGGAACTGGGGCTTCCGGGCACAGCCAGGAGCTTTCGAGGCTACTTCCATCCACTTGAAGATGTCACCCACTGTAAGAGACACCGTTATTTTATGAACAGCCAAGAGGGAGAAACACCTCTGAGAAATATTTCCATTTCACAGGTGAACAGAATTCATGTATTGGAATTCAGTATAGCAGGGAACCTTTGTACTTCTGTATTTATGTGATTGCATGCTTCCAAGGTGGGGCAGCTGAGGACCAGCTCGAGACTGGGATTTGAGACCAAGGTCCTCCTCTGCCTTTTAGGGTTTGCGTGTCAAAATATAGATAACAAGACTCTCACCCTAACACATTTTCTGTTTGCAAGAGTGCATGCTGAAGGCAAACATTTTGCCTGCTGTGGTTGTGTTTGTTGTTATTGTTATGTGCCGTCCAGTTGCCTACAATTCATAGCGACCTTATGTATAGCAGCTCTGAAGCCTGCCCTGTCATTCTGACACACCTACGCCCATTGCCTCAGTTACTGTAGCAGTCCTATCAGTCCGTCTCATCTAGGGTCTTCCTCTCCTGCACAGTCCCTCCACCCTCCCGAGTATGATGTCCTTCTCCAAGGACTGGTCCCCTCTGGTCACGTGCCCAAGATATGTGAGATGGAGCTTCAAAATCCTAGCTTCCAAGGAGAGACTTGGTTTCAGCCTCTCCAAGATGGACCACAGAACACTTTATATTCGTACATACAGATCTGAGTCTCCAAACAGCACAATCAGCAAGTCACCCCAGGTCCTCCTTGAAGGCCCGAGTGTCCCCTTGATCGGGAATCTCAGTCTCTTTTTGTTTTGTCTCCAGATTGCCTCGGGTCCCCAGTCTTCACTCCCATCAAGGCAGATATAAGTGGCAACATCACGGTACGTCCTTGGCGCCGACAGCCATAACCCTGATCCTGGGTCAGAAATCTGATCCCACTTCTGTTCACCTGTGCCTTGCTCCATGCTGCAGCACCACCTACGCCCGCCCTCCCCAGCCAGAGGGAAGGAAAGGAGAAATGGAGAATGAGCTAGGTCTCCAGAGAGGAGCCCCTTCCCAACTGTGCCCATCTAAACTATATGGGACCATAGTCTAAAGGATTGGCCGAGCCACAATGCCTGCTGGTCCTTTCTTTGCCACCGCCAGTAAAGGCCCAGCCTGAGTCTCAGGCTGTTCTGCATCATCTGATTTCTTCACCCGAGCAGCTCATCCAGGCTGATGCTGTCACTGTCTCTTATTCACAGATGAGGAAACTGAGTCTCAGAGAGCTTGATAGATTCACTGAAGGTCACATAGCAAATAAGTGACAGAGATGGGACCATCTGTGGCCATCTCATACTCTTCAAAGCTTATTTCCACTAGTCTGTAAAAGCAAAGCTTCAGAGACTTGCTTGGCGTCTACCAGAGACCATTAGCCATGAACCATGGCTCCTACCAGGGCCAGTTATGGACATGTCACTTGCCCTCTCGGAGCCTCAGTTTCCTCATCTGTAAGTGGAGACCATGGCAGACTAGCACCTGGGTTACCATGAGCATCGGGCAAGGCTGTACATTCAGTTCCTTGCCTGTCCACTCAAGATGGACCCTTGGGAACTGCTTGGTGGTTCCTGTCCCTGCTGCTCTGTTGCCAGTAGGAAGGAGATGGGACCCATCAGGGCGCTCCTCCACCAAGCACATGCGATCTGCAGGCCATGGTAGGAGCAGCTTTCTGAAGGAGAACCCCGTGTGCTTCATTTCAGAAAATCAAGGCCGTATATGACACCAACCCTGCCAAGTTCCGGACCCTGCAGAACATCCTGGAGGTGGAGAAGGAGCAGTACGGAGCAGAGTGGCCCAGAGTTGGGGCCACACTGGCGCTGATGTGGCTGAAGAGGTGACAAGCTTGGGGGGCGGGATGGGATAGACATGCAGTGTCCGCTCTGGCTCTGCCACCCTCACGGCCTCTTGTGCTTCCGTTGTCCCAGTTGCTGAGGTTCTTCTGTATTTTGTGGACCCTGCACTCTCCCAGCATGGCATCTTTCTAAAGAATGGCCCCCTCCTGACAATATGCCTGAGGTATACAAGATCAAGTCTCACTGTCTTTGCCTTTGAGGAGCATTCTGGCTGCACTTGGGCACAACAAGATCACTTTGTTATTTTTGCAGTTATAGTCAGGGAGCACTCGTGGCCTAGTGGCAAGAAGCTGCACTGTAATCCTGAAGGCAAGCGGTTCGAAGCCACCAGCTGCTCCGCAGTAGAAGGATGGTCAGTCTCCTCTTGTGCAATTAACTGCCTATGAAAACCCACGAGAGGGTCAGCTATGGATTGGTTCTGACTGTGGTACACAACAATAAAACCGTCGTAATTAATAAAAAATAATACAGTATTTGCCAGCACCACAGCACAAAGACATCCCTTTTCCTTCGTCATCTTTATTCACTGCTCAACTTTCACATGAATGTGAAGTGATTAACAATGCCATGGACCTTGTGTGTGCTAAGCCTTTGTATGCTGATGACATGTCATCCTTGGTGACTTCTGTGTATGAATGATCCCCACCACACAGAGAAGGCCCCTGAGGCTTTTGAGGGCCACATCCCCTGCCCAGGTGATGGGGTGGAGCTGGGTGCCCCAAGGACAGATGAAAGCTCTGGTGAATGCTTTAGCAGGCTTGGCGTTCCTGGGCACCTGCTGTGTCCCCCTGCCTGCAGCTGGGAAGACCCATCATAGGCCTCACCCTCCTTCAGGGGGGGCACATATGCCGAGGCCAGTGGGTGGGTCCTGCCGTAGGATGTCAGAGCAGGACACTGAGTCAGGGAACAGGGACGGGACCCTGGGGCCTCTGAGCAGGGGGTGCCCAGTGGTGGGGATGTGAAGACAGGCTCCCATACAAGGAGGGAATGACAGTAAGATGGGACAAAGGTGAGTTCTAGTTTGGTAAGGCCCCCAGGGAGCCTGGAACTAGTCGTCGCTGAAGCAGGTGTTGTTGTGCATCATCGAGTTGGAACTAACCCACAGTCGACCCTCCAGTGGGTTTTCAGAGGCAGTAAATCACACACAAGTCGATTGCCCATCTTTCTCTCAAGGAGCAGCTAATGGATTTGAACCACATAGCTTTGTGTTGGCAGTGCAGTTCTTTACCACTAGGCCACCTGAGCTCCCTGAAGCAGATGGATCTTTCTAAAAATTGTTCTCACTGCTGAGGAGAAGCAGGTGTGTTAGGGCTGAGAGAGGCAGCTGACCAGGGCAGAGAGACTGCAGTGTTGATCCTGAAGCAGCGCTGAAGCCTCCAATTTGCTGAGCTCTTGGGCAGGAGTCGAGGGTCCAGCTATGCTACCCGTGCCACTCCTGCTGTGCGGTGATGAGTTGATTACCATTCCTGGTCACCCCATATGACAGGCAAGGCCATGCTGTATGATGATTTCCTAGCCTGTGACCTTTGCAAAAGCAGATTGCCAGGCCTTTTTACCACAGAGCCGTAGTTCGATGTGACCTCTCAGTGAGCTGAGTGACTAACTGTTGTGCCCAGGGCTCCTCCAAGTCTCTGGCTCTCTCGAAGTCTGACCCGCATGTGTACTGGGTGGTTGGCATTGCCCATGTGTTGTTATTGTTATGTGCCATCGAGTCATTTGCGACCCATAGCGACAGCAGCTCTGAAGCCTGCTCTGTCCTGAGCCAGTCTCACTAATTCAGACACACCTACCCCCGTATTGCCCCAGTAACTGTGTCAATCCATCTCATCTGGGGCCTTCCTCTCCTGTGCTGTCCCTCCACCCTTCTGAGCACGATGTCCTTCTCCCAGGACCGGTCCCTCTCCAGGCCACGAGTCCAGATCCTAAAGAGCTGTCTCCTTATTCTTTCAGGGGTCTCCGCTTCATCCAGGTCTTCCTGCAGAGCATCTGTGATGGGGAGCGAGATGAGAACCACCCCAACCTCATCCGCGTCAACGCCACCAAGGCCTACGAGATGGCTCTCAAGAAATACCATGGCTGGATTGTGCAGAAGATCTTCCAGGTGAGCCACCCACACTCCTGCCTCTGTCCCCAGGCTAGAGGGCATCACCAGCTGCTGCGCCATGAAATGGAGGGCTTCCTGGCCACTTGGGTAGGGCGAGGCACGAGGCTGGAGTCCACGGGTCCTGTGAGTACACAAGAGCAGCCTCATTCAGGTGCCTTGCCCTGGGAGCTCTGATCAAGGAGCTGCTAAAGAAATCATTGAAATTCTGGGACCTCAGTGATGCCCCAGATCCACAGCTTTCTGGATCTGGGCAGTGGCCTGAGGTACCTGGTGCTACTCTGGACAGGTACCTGTCGTAGCTTTCTTCTCTGTCCTCAGAGTTGGCAACCCTGTGGGCTGTCTTGCTTTCCTGGCTTTCAGAGCGTGGGTCTGTTTTTTTTTGTGTCTGAACTACTCTTGGCCTCATCAGCATGACAAAAAAACCTGATGCCTTGAATGAGACAGATTAAATCCCAGCTACAGGAATCCAGTACTATCTCTGTTGCTGTTGTGAGCTGGAACCGACTCATCACTGGCCTCCAGTGGTTTCAGAGGCAGTGAAGGCATGGGGGGAGATTGCTCATCTTCGTCCCTTGAATTATATCTTTGGAAGGATGCCTTTTGATCCATAACAACAATGAAGGAAGAAGGGCTTTCTTGCACTGGGGACATTGACTGAAGGGACCCTCTTGGTTCTTGATGGCTCATGTTGGATGACACTGATCAGAGCTCCTCGAAGTGGGGGCCTAGGCCAGCCTGGTTAGTTGAGACCCACTTGAGTTGCCAGGGTAATTTAGGAAACATCGAGAAGCCTTGTTCAGGCCTGTGGGGCTGGGAGCCATTTGGACTCAGACTGGAAGAGTTAGTCCTGTGGTTGAGTACAGGACTGCTGCTGAGCTCCTCACTCCACCTGGGCTGGGGTGGGATGTACTAATAATCATGATATTACTGTGGACCTGGGCCTTTGGCTGCACATCGGCTGTAAGCATCCCAAATGTGTCATGAACTGAGTGTTCTTATCCCCATTTTACAGATGAGGAGACTGAGGCTCAGAGAAGTTTAGTATCTTGTTCAAGGCACAGACTTTAAAAAAAGGATTTGGAATGTTTACCTCAGTGTCCTCATCTTTAAAGTAGGTATAAAACAAACCCTGAGGTTTAGAAGAAGTACCCTGCATGAAGTGCTTGGTCCTTGGGTTATACTTGGTAAATCAGTGCTATTACTCTTTTTCTGTTTAAGCATATTCTTTTTCATGCTCCCGCACTGTCAGACTCAGAAGGTGACGTACTGAGTTGGATATTGTGCAGAAAGATCAGGGGTTCTGATCCACCAGCTGCTCCATGGGAGAAAGAAAGGCAATGTCCCCACATAAGGATTTACAGCCTGGAAGCCTGAGGAAGATTGCCAGAGGCGACCTAAGGCTTTTGGGATTATCAAACTTGCAGCCTAAGCTTTTTATCTAGATACACATACTTTTCCTCCTGTAATGCCATCAGCTTCTCATTCTCAGCACTCCAGGACAGTGCTGAAATGTAGGCAAATGTTGCCTCCCAAGGACAGAAGCTGCCACCAAGTAGCAGTCATCACACTTGCTTGGAAAAAGGGGTTCACAAAAAAGGCAGTGCCCCTTTTTCAGAGCAGCTGACCCAGAGGAAGAGGCTCACTTGCCCTGAAACTGCTCCCCACCCCCCCTAAATCTGAGAGCTTTGCACCCCTACCTTACTTCCGAATTCTACCCAATTACATAGGCTTCCCCTACCCATTTTACAGATGAGGAAACTGAGGCTAAGAGCTGTTGAGTAACTTGTTCAAAGCTCACAGTCAGTTTAGAATTTGAACCCAGGGCTCTCTGTCCCCAGAGCTGGTGTCCTGACTGCTGCTCCTCATGAGGGTGAAGGGGGAGCCCTTGTCCTCTGTGGTCTTCCTTCCAAGGCCATAAGTAATGCTGACCCCTATGCCAGCATCCCACCCTCCTAACGCTGTGCCCTGCACTTTGCCCGTCCCAAGGCAGCACTGTATGCGGCCCCCTACAAGTCCGATTTCCTGAAGGCGTTGTCCAAGGGGCAGAATGTGACTGAGGAGGAATGCCTGGAGAAGACCCGCCTTTTCCTGGTCAACTACACGGCCACCATTGACGTCATCTACGAGATGTACACAAAGATGAACGCTGAGCTCAACTACAAGGTGTAGCGGCGCCCGGTGCTGGCCCCTTACCACAGACACACCGGCACAGGCAGACCCGGACCACTGTGACCACAGCCTGCAGGCCCACTCCCCCAGGGATACTTTCCCTGAGTATGGCCCACAGCGCAGCCCAGGATTGCAGGGGGGGCGGCCTTGGCTACGGAAAAGTAATTTTCTGTCTATTCTCTTGGAGCAATAATGACCCTACTACCACATCGCCTTTGAACCTCACAGCAGTATAGACTGACTTTGTCTCCATTTCAGTGTGGTAAACACCAATTAATGTTTCTAATAAATCAAGTCCTAGGGCTTTTTTTTTGTTGTTGTTGGGTTTTGTTTTGGGGTTTTTTTTTGGTTTTGGTTTTTTGGGGGTTTTTTTTTGGCGTGTGTGGTCATCCTCTACACACCTGGAGCACAGCTCGGTTGGGGGTAAGGTGGACAGTGTGATCCACCTCACGTTCAGAGCCAGCATTGAGCAGCATGCTGATGGGGACATTTTCAGGACCGTGCCGAGTTTGATTGGAAATTATGCCGGGTTCTTACTGTGGGACTTAAAAACAAAGAAGCAAACCAGTGTGTGTACCACCCACCCTCTCAACACTGTCTTTTGGCAAACAGTGTATTTACAGCAGAAATCAGCCAGCAAGCCTTTGATGAGCCCAAGGTGTTTCTTTTAGAGCAGTCGGGTACAAGTAACCCACCACAGATGCCTGTGTTTGCATCTTTCTACATTCTTTCTTCAGGGACTACTTTTCTAACCTAAAAAACCCTGCGTGTTCTCTTGAGGGGAATAAGGTAAACCCTTCTGTTGCAGAGACCCAAGACGTCCCTTCAATGCCTTAATTGTCCTCCCAGCACTAGAGAGAGCTGTATTTTTCCAGTTGTTGGGGCAGACACCCCAAAGATTTTATGTGTATGAAGAAGAAACAAACAAACAACTCAATGAGGAACAATTGGTGATTTTTATGCAGAAACTAAATGATCCTTAATAAAGAAATCTCTTATTTTGGAATCATATCTGTGTACTCTGTTTGTTCCTGATCCTTTTCCCTTCCTCCCCCCCCCACCCCCTTGGGATCAGAGGTAACATCTGGAGACCCTTATACCAAATCCAGCCAAGAACCTGTTTTCTGGGCTTCATCGTTGGATAGAACTGGTGAGTATGTTTAGAAATGAGATTTCCCATAATAATCTTGATTCCCAGTTTCTTTTGGAGAAATCAGCCTTGGGGTCACAGACCCTTTGGCTGGTTGGGGAGGGAGGAAAACTCATTATCCACTTTGCTTCAATTCACACCACTCCCTGATGTCTCCCCAGCCCTGTGTCAGATGGATGTTTGTACCTTTCTCACAAGCATAGACTGATAGCTTTTCTGATAATAGGGCTAAATGTTATTCCTGCTTCTAGACTGCTGGAAGTCTAGTTGGGCAAGATGGACCAGTATAGTTTTGCTGTCCCTCCAGGCTTAAATGCAGCAGGTTCCAAGTCAAGAAACAGGAAAATCTCACTACCATCAGGAAAGAAGCAGTGTGTCCTTTTTTAGGGCAGAGATTTCAGGGCAAAACAAAATGAAACTAAGACACAGCAGCAACAGGTGGCTGAGGACGAGAAGACAGCGTAAGACAACGCTCAACTAGAGCTGTGCTCCGCAGAGCCTCAGCGGAGGACTTGTGCCAAGGCTTACTGGGAGATTAAGGGGGGGAGCACATTACTGTTAGAGAGAACTTATGGTAACTCTGGTGGCCTAGTGAACAAGGAGTTGCACTGCTGTCCCAAAGGCAGAGGTTCAAATCCAACTTGACTGAAGAAAGATGGAGAAGTCTCCCTTGCAGTTTTCATCCTCTGAAAATCAGCTGGAGGGTCAACTGTGGGTTGGTTCAAGAGCTTTGAGTGAACTCTGGTGGGACATTGAGTAGCGAGTTTGCACTGTTCACCCAGAGGTGGTGCCCATGGAGGTTTTCATCCACCAGCAGCTCTGCATCAGAAAGATGAGCAATTGCCTGTGCAATTTACAGCCTCTGAAAACCTGCTGGAGGGTCAGTGATGAGTTGATTGTGACTCAGCAGCTATGAGATGTGATAAAAAGAGTTTTGTGACACTAGCCTAGAGGCTGACAGCTCAGAAGGAGCCCTGCATACTTAACATGTGTGAGAAGAAGCTGTCCTGACTAAAGACTTGTATCCTGAGTGTTTCTGACTTGTTGCTGTTGTTAGGTGCCATCCTGTCGAGTGTGACTCATAGCAACCCTATGAACAAAAGGACCCTGTTCTATCTTGTGACATTCTCACACTTCCTGACACACACACAAAAGCCCATTGCAGCAGTCACTATGTCAATCCACCTGATTGAGGGTCGCCGACCTTCCACCATTCCCAGAATCATGTCCCTCTCCAAGGAATAGCCCCTCCTAGCAACATGCCCAAAGTATGAGACAAAGCTTCATCATTCTTGCCTCCAAAGAGCACTCCAGCTGCACCCTCTCCTAGACATATATGTTCATTCTCTTGACTATGGGATATTTAGTGCTCTTCTCCAACACCACAGCTCAAACGTGTCAATTCTTCTGTCATCCTTATTTCCTGTCCAGCTCTCAGATGCATAGCAAGTAATCGGAAAAATTATGGCCTGAATCAGATGCGCCTTAGTCCTTAAACTGACATAATTACTCCTCTGACCTGTTACTTCCCTAAAAAACCTCCATGGTTGTGAAGGGAAAAGAAACAGACCCCAAAACAGACCAGCATATCAACAGTGATGTGTCTAGTGAGGTAGTGAGGACCTTCATCTAAGTGGGTGGACGTCTTAACCCAGAACAAGGAGCTCAGGAGTATGTGTGAAGATGATAGGGTCAAAAGTCACATTTTGAGGGAGCTCTGGTGGCCTAGTGACAAGAAGCTGTGTTGTAATCCCGAAGGCATGCTGTTCAAATACACCAGATGTTTCTCTGGAGAAAGGGACAATCTCCTGTGCCAGTCGGATCCAATTCGATGGTACACAACAAGGTGGGGGAAGTCACATTTTGCTACCAAGACATTTGAACAGGACTCTGAGAACCATGGAACACTCTCCAAGGTTTTTGTGCACCATCCAATCAGATATCAGATGTCCAGGGCAGACAGCTCTCGCCAGCATGAGAGGATTGTAGCCTGAGAAGTTCTTTTCCTTGTTTCTATGCCTAAGATCTCCATCTTCAGCATATTGTCCAATACCGCACGTAGCAAGAATGCTACTACGCTAAACTCTGCGGCTTAGTTAGTGGTAAGGAGCTGTGCTGCAAACCCAAAGGCACGTGGTTCCAATCCATGAGCTGCTGCTTGGGAGAAAGAGCTGTCTCCTTCCATGTGATTTAGTGTCTCTGAAAACCCGGTGCAGGGCCGGCTATGAGTCCGTTCTGACTCAATGGCACGTAACAATTGCATTTCAGGTTTTCTAAAAAAAAAAAAAAGACAAAATTCTACCAATACATTAGACAAATTTTCTTTCTTTAAAAAAAAAAATAAATAAATCTTGCCTTCATGAGCCAGGTACAAACCCAGCAGTGCATCTCCCGTTTCACCCTGCAAGCACGAGACGAGGGCAGGAAGGAAGGAACATGCAGAGTGCCTTCTGTACACCAGACCCTTCCTGGTGCTTGAGACCTTTTCACACCCACCTTGCCATATGGGCTTTGGGAGGGCCCATTTATCAGATGAAGAGACTGAGCCCAAGCAAGGGTGGAGGACAGAGCTGGCAAAGGTGACCCAGCCAGAAGTGGAAGTGCTGGAGTTTCACCTCCAACTTTACGTGTCCCCTCAGTCATGTGCTCTTCAGTGCCAGCTGATAGCGAGCTTGCGGCCCAGCACACTTTCCTGCCAGGACGTTCCCACAGATGGGAAACTACCTTCTTTGACCTAGGTTAACCCCATGTTGTTGCTAAATGTCATCTCAGAGTCGACTGTGACCCCTAGCAACTCCATTAACAACAGATTTGAACCTTTCCCTGCCCTATCCTGTGCCATCCTCACCATACTCGTGATGTGCTTGAGCCCACTGTTAGAATTACTATCAATCCTTCTTCCCTTTCTCTTTTTCTGACCTGCCACCTTTGCCAGCATGATGTCTTTTTTCAAGGATTTATATTCTGACAGCATGCCCAAGGTATATAACGTGAAGTCTCCCCATCCTTGCCTCTGAGGAGCACTCTAGTTGCACTTCCTCCAGACGTATTTGTTTGTCCTCTTGGCAGTCCATGAGATAGTCAGTACTCCCCCCCCAACACCACAATCCAAAAACATTAGTTTTTTCTGTCCTCCTCATTCATTGTCCAACTTTCAAGTGCATAAAAAGCAACTGAAAAGACCCTGACTAGGATCAGGCGCACCTTACTCATTAAACTGACACCATTGCTCTTTAGTACTTTGGTGAGGTCCGTGAGAGCACATTTGTTCAATGCAACACATCTTTTAATTTCTTGTTGTTGCTGTTTGCCATTGAGTTAGAACTGACCTATGACTTGACCCTTCAGTGGGTTTTCAGAGGCAGTTAATCACCTGGGAGAAGATTGCCCATCCGTCTCTCACACAGCATCTGGTGGATTCGAACTGCAAGGCTTTAGGTTGTGGCACAGCTTCTTACCATCAGGCCACCTGCACAGAAACTGGAATTAACCCAAAAGTGTGACAAGGATTGACTCAAGGGTTTATTCACTTATTACTTCCTTCCATTAAACCTTACATCTTGTTGTTATGTGCCATCGAGTTGCTTGCAACTCATAGCGACCCTGTATACAACGTCCCTAAACTCTGCTCTGTCCTGTGCCAATCGCACCGTCTCCGACACACCCATCCCGATTACCCCAGGCACTGAATCAATCCACCTCATAGACGACCTTCCTCTTTTGCGCTTACTTAGTCTTTTATAATACAGTTTAATGCCCCAAACATCGACTTTCTTATCTGTAACATGGGAATCTTGTAGACTTCTACCTCAATGGGATTTTTGTGGGACTTAAATGTTTTTCACTGGTT